TATGGCAGTGGGCATGGTTCACGTGTCCCAGAAGTTTCCAGGTCTTCCTCAGACTGGACGGGATGTCTGCGGCTGAGACAAAAAAGCTACCTTTCCCATTTTTAATTAGTAAGGTTGAGCATCTCTCTACATGATTAATGACTCATTTTCTCTGGCTTACCCTAATGATAACTGCCTATTTTTTTTCTTGAGTGATTTGCATATTGATTATTAAGGATTCTTTCTATATTAAGGATATCAATATACTCTGTTTTATAGAATATAAGGTTTTTGCTATTTTTCTTAAAAATGTATTTTGTCAAACTTTAAAATTTTATACAAATAAAGCTGTGAAATCTTTAGCCTCTAAATCTTGTATTATGCTTAGAAATGAGGACTTTTCCCTAGTTAGATTATTACAGATAAAACTTTCTCAGACTAATTTCTGTTGTAGTGTTATTTATTCCCAGGCATAGATACACTGTGTAAACAAGCTGTCTTGAAACTTTTAGGGGCATATCCCTCATTTCTTTATTACTTTTGTTAAACAGGAAAACTGCCTAAGAATTATGACCCAAAAGTTACCCCAGATCCAGAAAGATGGCTACCAATGAGAGAACGTTCTTACTATCGAGGAAGAAAGAAGGGTAAAAAGAAGGATCAGATTGGAAAAGGGACCCAGGGAGCAACTGCAGGGGCCTCATCTGAACTGTAAGTCATGGCTTCGTAATAGAACTTGCTTAGAACATAGATTGTTTCTGAGAATGATTTAAGGATATTAGTGAGAGTTTGTTAATATATTTTAAGTATGAGAAGTATACAATCATATATTCTTGATAAATGTTTGCAGTATACAAGAGAGAAAATATAGTTCTGCTTTGAATATGTTGTAAATACTAAAACTTTGATTATATTATTAAATTAAATATTTTTTTTGTTTGAAAAGGAAAAGGAAACTATACTGAGTCTTTTAACTATGTAAACATTAATAAATAAATTAAAATGTTATTTATACATAGAATTATAAGTCACTTAATTTTTTTATCTTTTTTTTGGTACTGGCAATTGAACTCAGGGGCACTCAACCACTGAGCCCCATCCCCAGCTCTATTTTCTATTTTATTTGGAGACAGGGGCTCACTGAGTTGCTTAGCACCTTGCTGTTGCTTAGGCTGGCTTTGAACTCACGATCCTACTGTCTCAGCTTCCCGAGCTACTGGGATTACAGGCATGTGCCACCATGCCCAGAATAATTTTTTTAATCTTTTATAAGGTTTCTAAAAATGGGCATGAATGATATATAGTTTTTTAGTTACAAACAGTAAAAATTTTGTTCAAAGAATGGTGAAAGCCAGGTATGGTTAATCCCAGCTACTTGGGAGGCTGAGCCAGAGAATTCCAAGTTCAAGCGAGCCTGAACTGTTTAGTGAGAACCTGTTCCAATAGATTAGATAGGTAGAGCATCCCTAGGTTCAATCCCTAGGTTCAATTCCTAGTACTGCTAAAAAAAAAAAGAAAAAGAAAAAGAAAAAGGGTGAGGAATCAGAGATGTACCTTAAACAAAGTGGAAAATTGTTAGATATGGAAAGTAGAACACTTGTATATACCCTTTTTCTTTGTTGAATTTATGAATGACCAAAATATTTCTGGTCTGATGATTTCAGGGATGCCAGTAAAACTGTGAGCAGCCCACCCACCTCTCCAAGACCTGGCAGTGCAGCAACAGTCTCTGCCTCTACAAGTAACATCATACCCCCAAGACACCAGAAACCTGCAGGGGCCCCGGCAACAAAAAAGAAACAGCAACAGAAAAAGAAGAAAGGAGGAAAAGGTGGCTGGTGATAGAATGTCCTTGTTGCAGGCTGTTTTTAAATAGCCTCAGTGATATACTAGGAACATAATAAAGGTAACACAGCAAGAAGCACAGAACTGCTCCATCTTATATCCACATATTTTCATAAAATAATTTCTTGTGCATCAAATAGGAAAACACCTTTCTCAAACTGCCTAGTCAGGTTTGGTAATTTGAACTGCCTATGTTTGCACAGATTATGAGGACTGGAGATGATCAGGCATATACCACTTTGATATCTGTTGCACCCTTTATCTTTGTGTGCTGATTTGATCTTTTTTCCATTTCACAAACAAGGCATGTTATCTAAGGTCTCCCAGGATTTAAACAGAAACTGTTTCTACTAGAGTCTGAAGACACTTGTTGCTATTTTAGGTCCCACTTTAAATTATGTCTTACATGGCCCTAGGAGGCTGAAAGTGGAATCTTCTGAGCATTCTAAGTATTGAGTTAAAAATATCATGTGATAAGAAGGAACCTTACCAAAACACTAGTGTTCTTCACTTAATTAAATGACCACAAAAAGACTAAAGTAAATGTTTTAAATAATTTTGACCATAAATTCTGTCATGTGATACTGGAATATGGAATATTTTTCATATGTGTATATGGTTCCTTTGTGCCCCTTATCATTTTCATTCTCAGATTATGTTAATGTTGATTTAGCACCATTCAATATCTCAAAATATATCAATGTTGTAAGAAGTTGACTCTTTGACCTAGTGTTATGAGGTCAGATGGGTTTGGACTTTCTTAATCAGAAAGATTGATAGCCCCTATCAAGAACATAAAACATTGACTTCATTACATAGACAGGAAATCAATACCAAGAAGTATTAAGATCTAACAGGACTGTTTGGCCCAATTAATAGATACTCTAATGGCTTCTCTTTCCTTATGGGTTTTGACCTTTCATTACCTTTCTCTAAGTAATGAAGTATTTTACAATCAGTTTGTGGTGTGACTGTTGTTCTTGTCTTTCCTTGTTCACAAGCCACCTTCACATTCAACAGCTGTGAGACAGTTACTGGGGTGCCTCCCCTTGTTTAATATTCATTTTATGCTGCCCAAGTATAATTTATTTAAGACTTATGAGTATTTCCTTGTGATCAAATTACTCTGTCCTTGTTAATAAAGTGCTGCTGTGTTAGATTCTGAACATATCTACTGAAACTTCCTCAAAGGGTTTCTAAAAAGGCTTTCCATCTTTAAAATAAGAAACGAAGTGCTGCCTTTCTGTTTAACATAATCAGAATCTGCAGTGGCATCTAAACATGAGGTCTTAAAATAAGAATGATTTATTATGTTGTACTTTTGAGCTAAACAGAACAGTCTCTTGGTAAGAGTGACAAATATTTATTCCTTCTGAATATATACTGCAGTATAGGAATGATTGTTAGTAAATCTGTTATTTAGAATTCCATTAAATTTCTATGGTTAAAGATAATAATTTTTTAGGTTAACTAAGCAACAGAATCTTGGTGAAAATTATCCATCTTTGAAAATTTTGACCTAAGGCACAACAGTGAAATTTACAGTTCTCTATTTAGTCATTGTTTTTGGCAGCCATTGGTATTAGTCATTGCTAAGCAACTGAAATTTCAGTTCAAACAAATAAATTATTGTCAAATGAAGTGTTAACACCATCAATTATTTCCTCTTTTGGACAGGGCTTTAACCAATGACATATATAACTTTGTATATACATGTTGTATGTGTACATTTATAAAAACCAGTGTGGATACATCCATTCACTATGGCACATTTTAAAATAAAATATTCTAGCAGTGACTATGGATAATTGTGTTTTGAGTGTTGGCATTTTGGGGAGGACTTCCTGGTAAATACATCTAAGAATTTTCTTTCAAACTATTTAAAATTGTCTCCTTCCCCTCCCAGCAGAGCCAGAAAGCCAATCTAATGGGATTGCAGGAACCCAGTTTAAACTCCGCTGAAAATATATCATGTTGACATGGGTATAAACAAAACAGCATTTAAAAGTTTTTAATCAGTCTTTTTAATAAAACTCTGAACAGCTAACCTTAAAAACCACTGCATCTGGCTGGGGTTGTGGCTCAGCCGCAGAGGGCTCACCTAGCAAGTACTGGGCCCTGGGTTTGATCATCAGCACGACATAAAAATAAATAAATAAAAATATTGTGTCTAACTACAACTACAAAATATTAACAACAACAACAAAAACCACTGCATCACTCAAGGCTTGTGAAACCTGCTATTCATTGTTCCTTACAAGCCTATCAGAAATATCTGATGAAGAAAAATCAGTTTATTGCATGTATAAACTATACTTTTAATTAATTGACAGTGCTAGGGGGTGGAATCCAAGGCCTCCTACATAACAGGCAATTGCCCTGCAGCCCCCACATCACCTCTGAAAGTTCCATTGGATGCCAAATTTACTACATACTCTATCCTGGGGTAAATTATACTATTTTGCCTAGTTCAGGTTTTGCTAACCTGGACTTTGTTAGCAGCCAGGATCCTGGCGGGGTACTTAATCTCCGAAAATTTTACATATAAATAAACAAATGTGTGTGGTTGTTGGTTTTTTGTGGTTTTTTTTTTTTGTGTGTGTGTGTGTGTGTGTGGTGCTGGGTTTGAACCCAGGGCCTTGTGCATAGGGAGGCAAGCACACTACCAACTGAGCTATATCCCCAGCCCTGAAACTAGAATTTAAGACATATTACTCTGTCCTTAACCAATAACCCTGGGTTGCAGCCTTTAGACGTGGCTAAGTGGCGTTTACTCGCACTGTGGAGGGGAGATACACAACTTAGCTTGGCTTCGGTTGTGAGCCGAGCGAGGACGCCGGCGCTGTAGGCGTTCTGCGGGTTGAGGACGCCAGCTTGGCAGAGCAGGCTGGGGTTTGAAGCTGGAGAGGTCGGAGGCTAAGGTCGCTCTGGACCCTGCTCAGGTGGAAGGCGTTTCCCTCCGGAGCTGGTGACGCCTAGGTAACGTTTTTCCGGCAGCGGTGATAAGCCCGTCGCTCTCCCAACTCTTGGTTGGGACCTCTGGGTTCTTCTGGGCTGGGCTCGATCCACCCGCTAGAACCCCCGCCCATTTCAACTCCATTTGGGGTCCCTCCTCCTCACCCCCCGGGTTCGGCGAATCAACTGCCCGTCGCCCTGGACAGGCGAGCTAGTGCGAAATGCCAGACCTCAGGCTGTACGCACTGGGAATAGCTGCGGCCATGGTGACCACGGGTGTGGCCTACGCCCTGTGGACCTACGTCTCCGCCCTGCGCCCCGCGAGGAGGCCACACCTGCCCAGACCCGAGGCTGCAACTCCTGCGCGCGGGCGCGCAGAGGAAAGAAAGCAAACAGGAGCGGTGGAAATGGAGAATGTGAAGAAAGGGAAGGCTAAGGAAGTGGCGAAGGAGAAAATTAAGGTGAAAGGAAAAGAAGAGAGAAAGAAAGAAGTGTCAAAGGGGAAAGAGAAAGGGAAGGAAGAGAAGTGGATAAGAAAAGATAATGAGCAGGAAAAGGAGAAAGAGCAAGGGAAGGAGACAGCAGCCAAGAATGAGCAATTTAAAGAAAAGCCAGAGGTAGAGAAGAGCGACAGCACCAAGACAGAGACGCCTCTGGAGTCATCCGTAGAAAACCAGGTACCTGGGACCCTTGCCTCCAACGCCCGGCTCTGTTACGTCAGACCCCAAGACCTGCGCAGGGGGAACTGGGCCTCAACAGAGGGTTTTCCACCTAAGGATCGGAGGAATTGTATCGAGCTACGAACATCCCATTGTCCTCCCCTTCTCCCCTGCTTCACCCCTGTACCCTGTGTCCTAACAGATTCTAATGTTGAGGGACCAGAGATCTTGACTGGTCTTCAAAAGTGACGCCTTTTGCCTCTGCCGGGCATTCAGTGCTGAGCTCCCAGACCATCTGCCAACAGAGACCAGTCCCGGACGCTCCGTGCACGCAGGCTCTCTCCGCTTGTCAGAAGCGGCAGTGTTCCTGAATTTATGCAGGATGTGTTTGGGGGCTCTCTGGCTCTTTTCTGTAAGGCGCTGTGGTTACTGCTTGCATGGTTTTCAAACCATCAGCACCCAGAAGGGCGGGGAGTGGGGCGTCGCAAATTTTTAACGGAGAGGTGTGAGAACCCAGGCATTGTGAGGGTCAGCTAGATGGGCTCTGTGTTTCTGGTTGGCTCCATGGGTCTAGAGCCACTTTTTGGTTCTAAACGGTTTTAATTTAATTATTACAGGATATTTGATGTCTGGTAAAACAAGGCTACGTAGATCTATGTATGGCTAAAGGAATCACATTTTTTTTTTTCTTTTGTGGTGCTGGGGATTGAACTCAGGGCCTTATGCAAATGAAGCAAGCACTCTACCAACTCAGCTATATCCCCAGTCCTAAAGAAATTACTTTTGACACAGAATGATCGTGTTCAGCATCACATTTTGCATCTGAACTCTTGATTTACAACTATCTTAGGTTTCCCTAGGAGGGGATAGACACGAGGGTAATACATTTTATTTTAATTAATTAATTAATTGGTGCTGAGGATTGAACCCAAAATCTCAGGAATATGCTCTATCACTCAGCTACATCCCCAGCCCAATGTTTGTATTTTAGACCGAAAATATAAACAAAATGTAAATCATTAATGCAGAATTTCTAGGTAGAATGGGTTTAGGTGTGGCAATGTGGTTGGAAAAGGAGTAGGGAACTGTTTTTAACTCACAATGTTTCAAGGACCTAGTACATCATTATTTTAGGAATCACTAAGAAAGAAAAAAAATGCTACCAACCAAAATAGGACATACCATAGATTTTAAAAACATCATATTTTTAGCATATTAAAATGAGGAAGGGATGTACCATGGAATGAGTTTGTAATGAAGTATGTTGGGGTAACCTGAGTGGGGGCCCCTTCCAAATGGTGAGAGAACACAATCCATGCCTGCAGCCATTTTTTGGTGCTGCTACTGCTTTAAACCATGTAATTTTAAAGCATTCAACAAAGTCTCTTTTGTGTATCAAGTCCTTCTTCCTTACCCTAGCACTTTCTAAGAATGGCATTTTTAAAATAGTTTTATTAGTTATTATGGGCCTTTATTTATTTATATGTGATGCTGAGATGAACCCAGTGCCTCACACATGCTAGGCAAGCGCTCTTCCACTGAGCCACAACCCCAGCCCTAAGAATGGCATTTTAACGTGTAGATGCAGATGGAGAGAATGGGGAAGGACATAGGGATGGAGATAGGAGAGATCCATGAAAATATCATTCACTTTCAGAGCCATCAAGAATTCACTCTAGGGGTTGGGGTTGTGGCTCAGTGGTAGAGCACTTGCCTAAAATGTGTGAGGCACTGGGTTTGACCCTCAGCACCATATAAAATTAATTAAATAAATAAAGGTGTTGTGTCCTTCTACAACTAAAAATATTTTAAAAAATAAAAAAAAAAGAATTCACTCTAAAATGTATGGCCTTCAAAAATTGTGTTGTTGGGCTGGGGCTGGGGCTCAGCAGTAAAGCACTCACCTAGCACGTGAGAAGCTCTGGGTTCGATCTTCAGCATCACATAAAAATAAATAAAGATATTGTGTCCAACTTAAAAAAAAATGTGTTGTTTACCCAAATACCTATTAGGGCAGAACTTAAAATGTCTTACTTTCACATAGATTTTTTTTTTTTTAAAGAAGTGGTTATAGACATTCTAATACTGTTTAAGATCACTTTTTTTCCCTCCAGAAATGCAATCTAAGTCTAATGTCAACATTTGGTGTTCAAGCAGAACAAGCAGGGTGTATAAGATTATTGTTATTTCTAAACCAGTGCCATTAAAGATAATTGCTAGTATTTTAGATCTACATAGCCTGTGTTTTATCAGATATCAAATTTCCTTTAATAATTAAAACTGTTTAGAACCAAAAAGTGGCTCTAGACCCATGGAAACATCTTTATTAAGCTGTTTGGGAAATAGAATGGAACTCCTCTGAGCAGTCTGGCTCACTTCTTAATCTTTAATGTTTGCACTGTAGAGACCACATCTCTAGGCACTTTTAACTGTATTTCTGTCTTCTCATGAGACTGCCCTTGTGGTCCCTCGGTCCATGGCAATAAAAATTGAGGCTGACATATTGGTAGGATGCTTTTTTTAAAGTTTACTTCCAGTTCACCAGGTTTTAATATCATTAAATCATGATACTTAAAAATATGCATTAAAAATATAAGAGGGGAAACTTGCACTAACATTTTATAATCAAGTTATCTACTTGTGAAGAAAAGATAGATTAATAATAACATGAGACCTTAAATGCTTGCATGCTGAGTGGTATAGTGGATGTGTGCACCATGGAGGTCCCAAGACCCCAAAAACCAAACCAAATTCTAGTACAATCTCCAAAGGACATGAACAAGAAGTCTCGAAATTGACTCTGAGACCTCTAGAACCTTCCATAAATTCTGGTGTATGTGTGTTGGTGTATGTGATAGACTGACCAAGAGTTGGGGGATGGAGAGGGTATGTGAGATTAATAGTCACATAGTAGTAATGGTTATGTGAAAACATTAGGTGATTGGTGGTTTGGTCTTGGCCTATAAAATGTTAAGTTCCTCTCTGTTTGGCAATTCCATGATTATTATTAGGTCCTAGCACAGGAAGACACACTATTAGGAGCCAGGAAAACAAGGACCTGATGGCATAGGTTTATTGATTTATCTTTTGTTTCACAGGACAAAAATAAGCAGATCCTAGTTCTAGGCCTGGATGGAGCAGGGAAAACCAGCATCCTCGACTCTCTAGCTTTAAACAAAGTCCAGCATAGCAAGGCACCCACCCAAGGTTTCAATCCCGTGTGCATCGACATTGAAGACAACCAAATGGAGTTCCTGGAGAGTAAGCTCTATTTCCTCACTAGTTATCTAGTAGCCTTCTTTTATGTTTAGCTAGATGTGGTGTTATCAACTGGATTCTTATGATGCTGGATCAGATTTACATAAACTTTAGGATGCATGTGTGGTTTAATACTAAGGTGCTCTAGGGAGGGAGTTAGGAATCACTTTCTGCTTTTTTAATTGTCTCCTTTTTTGCAGTGATGGAGACAGGGGAGGTTAAAGGAAGGCTTTAGCATGCCCTCCTATAATCTATAACGGGCCTCCCTCTTTCCACACTATAGCAAATAAACATGCAGCCTAAGTAAGTACAGTGTGCTTCCTTCTCTGCAAATGAAATTATATAGAAGCCCCAAACTTCTTCCAACTAGATGGCAGTTCCAAAGTCCCTAGTGTGCAGCAATGCTGAAGTCACCACCTTGCTAGATGTTGCTGTGCCCCCAAAGTTGGGTCAGATCTTCCCTTGTCTTCTCTCTCTCTCTCAGTTCTTTACCACTGAGCTATATTCCTGACCTTTTTTTTTTTTTAGAGAGAGAGAGAGAGAGATTTTTTTTAATAATTATTTTTTAATTTTCGGTGGACACAACATCTTTATTTTTTTTATTTTTATGTGGTGCTGAGGATCGAACCCATCACCCTGCGCATGCCAGGAGAGCACACTTACCACTTGAACCACATCCCCAGACCCGTGACCTTTTTATTTTTTGAGACAGGATCTCCCTAAGTAGATGAGGCCCTCATTAATTGCCCAGGTTGGCCTTGAACTTGTGATCCTCCTATCTTAGCCTCCCGGGTTCTTCTCTTACACTCTCTCTTTGGATGACTTGATTCATCTTCATGGCACTTAATACTATCTATATGATAATGAGCCCCCCCCCAATTGACCTATCTAGCCCAAACATATCCAAACGTCTCCTGACATCTCTACTTGATTGTCTCATGGGCCTCTCAAACCATGTGATTAAACAAAAATGTCTGACTTATCCCCTCCTGTCTGTTTCATTACCTGTAATCCACTGGCCATTAAGTGATTCCTTACCCATCAAGTTGCTCAAGGCAGAATCTGGGAGTCACCCTTGATTCCTCCTTCTCTACCCCTGCCTTCGGTCCACAAGAGAAACATATTGACTCCTTCTATCTCCAAAGCATAACTAGAATTTGTCAGTGTCATCCTTTTCTACTGCCTGCAAATGAGCCAAAACCTCCCTCACCTGTTCCTCAGTTTCTTGCAGTCATCATTTTATTTTTGCTTTTGTCCATTTGTGAAGAGAAATATTTTAACCATGTATTTAAGCAAATCCATTGCTAACTTAAAACCCTTCAAGGAATTAGCTGGGTGCAATGGTGTACATCTGTAATCCCAGTGGCTGGGGAGGCTGAGGCAGAAAGATCACAAATTTGAGGTCAGCTGAAGCAACTTAATGAGGCCCTGAACAAGTTAGTGAGACCCTGTTTCAAAATAAGAAAAAAAAAAAAAAAGGAGGAGGGAGGGTGAGGATGTAAGCCCAGTGGCTAAGCACCCCTGGGTTCAGTCCTCAGTACCAAAAAACAAAAACCCTTCCAATGATAGGTAGGTCCACTTTTAAATAACTCATAGTTCAAAGATAAAATCATTATGGGAATTTAAAAATACTCAGAACAAATGACTGGTAAAAATAACAATGACAAAAGGTATTGGTCAAAATTGGCATGACAAAAAAATAATAATGCATTTAAAGAAATTTACAATCTTAAATGTTTATAGCTAGGGAAAAAAACAGCTGAAAACTTATGGGTTAAATATATGATGTAGATTAGGAAAGAACAACAGGCTAAAATCAAAGAGGGTAGAAGGAAAGAGATTATAAAGAAACCAATGAAATTAATTACAAAGATACAGTAGCAAAGATCAGAAAAGTCAAAAGTTAGTTCCTTGAAAGATAAACAAAATAGACAATCTTCTGATGAAATTTATCAGGAAAATCTAGAAAGCACAACTAATGTCTCAAATGAAAAAAAGATGTCAAGAGTATATTTACATCTGTGCCAATAGACATATATATTACAAAAGCAGATTCAAGAAGAAATAACAACTTTTGGCCAAATTATATTGTTATATTGTGTGCATGTACAAATATGTAAAAATAAATCATACCATTGTGTACAACTATAGTTCACCAATAAAAATGTGGAAAATAAATAAAAATAAGACATTGAATAATTTTAAAAATTTAAAATGAAATCACTAGCTAAAAATCACTCTAGGGCTGGGGATATAGCTCAGTTGGTAGCTCAGCTTTCCTCACAAACACAAGGCCCTTGGTTCAATCCCCAATACCACAAAAAAAAAAAAAAAAATCACTCTATAATGAAAACACTAGATAAGTTGATTTTATAGGTAAACTCTATCAATCTTAATCTTCCATAAATTCTCCTACCCAACAGGAAGCAAAAGTAGTATTTCCTCACAGTGAGATTACTATAACCAAAGCCAGGCTAAGAAGTATTAAAAAAAGGAAATTCATGAGCATAGAAGCAGAAATCCAAACAAAATTGTAGTAAACCAAAATCCAGTTAGTATATGAAAGAGAAAACATATCATGACCAAGCTTGGCTTCTCCAGAAACAAAAGGTTAGTTTAACGTTTGAAAAATCTAAGCAACTCAGTGAGCATCTGTCTTTAAATAAAATACAAAATAGAGGGCTGGGGATGTGGCTCAGTGGTTGAGTGCCCTTGAGTTCAATCTGTGGTACCCATCCCCCCCGTCAAAAACCTATAAATGTCATTTACTACATTGTTAACTAGCGAAATATATATGATAACCTCAATAAAAGCAGAAAAAAATTGCAAAATTCAATTCTGTTTATGATTTTAAAATTCTTAATAAACTAAAAATAAATGGCAATTCCTTAACCCACCAACACTTCAGAACACAGGATTCCTCAACATAAAGTATTAGAAGTATGGCCCCTTGAAAGCCAGGACCAACAAGAGTATTTTAATTCAGCATTACCCAGAAGGTCTAAGTCAGTTCAACACAAAGAAAATGTATTAGGATTAGAAAGGAAGAAACAAAACAGTTCTTGTTTATGAATGTTGTAATTTTCTTTAAAGCAAACTTAGAAGACCCGTCAAATTACTTTAAAAAGTCAATTACACTTCTGTTATCCAGCAACATGCAGAAAGTGATTTTTTTTTTTTCCTCTTCTCCGGTTGAACCTATGGGCACTTTTTCACAAAGCTACACACCCAACCTTTTATTTATTTTATTAAAAAAAAATTTTTTTTTGGTTGTAGATAGACACAATACTTCTATTTATTTTTTATGTGGTGCTGAGGATGGAACCTGGTGCCTCACACGTGGTAGGTAAGCGGTCTACCACTGAGCTACAACCCCCGCCCCCCCCCCCCCCCCAGCCTTTTAAATTAATTAATTAATTTTTGTTTTGAGATAGGGTCTTTCTTAGTTGCTTAGGGCCTTACTAAGTTGCTGAGACTGGCTTCAAACTTGCTGTCCTCCTGCTGGGAGGATTCTTCGAGTTGCTGGGATTATAGGCATGCACTACTATGCACAACTTAGCATATATGATTTTTAAGAAGATATCATTTTTGATAGCAATGTACATAATTTAGCTAGTCCTAAACTTAAACACACACACACACACACATAATAGACATTTGCAGATGTCATTGAAAAACACTGAAAGAAGATCTAAATAAATGGTGACATAGTTTCCATGAATTCATGGGCTGGGGCTGTAACTCAGTGGTAGAGTGCTTGCCTGGCATGTGTGAGGCACTTGGTTCAATCCTTAGCACCACATAAAAATAAACTAATAAACAAACATATGTGTCTATCTACAACTAAAAAAAATTTTTGAAAAAAAAACTTAAAAAGATGTTAATTCTCCTCCAAATTTATGTTTAGATATAATTCAATTCCAATCAAAATCCCGATAAAACTTTTTTTAAGAGTTTGAGAAGCTGAGACTAAAACTTACATGGAAGAATAAAGGTATAAAAAAAGCTGGACACTCTTGAAGAAATGAGTAAGAAAGACAGCCTTGTTCTGTCAAATATCAAATCTTACTATAAAGCTTTAAAATTAACATTGTGTGGTGTTGGCACAGGAATGAGCAGAGTGACCAAATGTACAGAGTAGAGATCTTCTGGGGAAAAGAGAGGCTGTTTAACAAATGGTGATGGCACATGAGAAAAAAGTGAAATTGTTTACCAGCCTCTTTATATACATATGTATACATCAAATTCAGATGGATAAAAGTCTAATGTAAAAAGCTTTGTGAAGAAAATAGAGAATATCTTATGTCTCCAGGGTAGAAAAAGACAAATGCAGAATACAAAACAGGATATAAAAATGGATAAAGACAGATGGGTAAATCAATTACATTAAAATTGGGAACTTCTGCTCATAAAAAAGATGCCACAAAATGGGAGAAGATACATGCAACACATATAACCAATAAACAGACAGTAATCAGAATATGTTAAGAACTCTTATGAAAAAATTTAGACATCATAAAAAACATTTCACATGAAACAAATTAGAAGTAAACATGAAAAAATGTTTAATGATCATTAAGCAAGAGAATTCAAATTAGGTGCGAGAGCACACACACACACACACAAATCAATCAGATAATACCAAGTTTTGAAGAGAATGTGAATCCAAAGGAAATTTATTGGCCATTGGTGGAACATAAATTGGAACCTGCCACTTTAGAAAACAATTTAGCATAGTTGGCCTTCCTTTCACATATATCCACACCAGGAAACAAATACAAAAGTCTTTACAGCAGCATTGTTTATGGTAACAATAAATGAGGAATAACCCAATGTCCATGGATGTTAAAATTGTGTTAAAACCATCTGAATTACTTAGAAGTTTTCAAAATAGTTTAACAAATGAAAAACACAAAATACTTAGAAGAATGACTAGCCTAGAGAGATGCAAAAGAAAACAAGGAAAGGTAAATCTTTTCTTATTAGTGTTTAAAATGGCTTTTGTTAAGTTGCTGTTACAGAGATCTGAAAGCTCTTTCTATCAATGGCTATGTAGTAAATAATTTGAGCTCCGTGGACTGCATGGTCTCTGTTGTAACCACTAAACTGCCCTTGTGGTATAAGAGTAGCCACAGACAATATATAAACCAAAACATATTGTGTTCCAATAAAACTATTTGTGGATACTAGAATCTAAAATTGATAGAATATTCACAGTCTTAATATGGTATTCTTTTTTAAAAAAACATTTAAATGTGTAAAAAAGCCTTTTTAGCTTGTGAGCTATACAAAAATAGGTGGCTGGCTAGATTTGAATATGGGACCATGGTCTGCCAAACCCCATACTAGGAGAAAAATAAAAGCTAAATTCATTTTGTATATTATCATTACCAAAAAGTTTCCTATGGGAAGAATCAGTAGAATGAATTTCTGTAATCTAAAGGCATTTTTATTCTAAGGCAAATATTCCTGAATACCTTAAGATCATATTTCCTCTTAATGCAATATTAAAAATAGAAATTAATTCTGGGATTCTGACAAAGGAAAAGAATTATGCAAATGAGGGTAGCCAAGAAGTTTAGTCCATTTAAAAATCAGAGTGATATGTGTTTTTTGTTTGTTTGTTTTTCCCCCATACTGGGAGTTGAACCAGGGGCACTTAACCACAGAGCCACATTCCCAGCTCTTTTTTTGTATTTTTTAGAGACAGAGTCAAGTCTGAGTTACTCAGACTTGTGAAGTTGCTGAGGCTGGCTTTGAACTCACAATCCTCCTGCCTCAGCCTCCCAAGCCACTGGGATTATAGGCATACACCACTGTGCCCAGCATAACTTGTGCTTTAACCTACCACCTTTAACTATTTCAGTAGCCCACTCCCATTGATGAACTTGCAGTGGCTGTGAGTCTGTTGTGTATGTCAGGATCAGAAGACACCCACTGTAACATTTAATATCTGAACAAAGATCCTTTCTGATTCCAAAATGAATGATCCACTTGTGAAGGGTACTCATTCCCAATGGCTATTTCCCAGCAGTGTCCCTCTGATTGCTCTCAGAATTAGGTATCTTCTAACACAGTGGAATTTTGTTGGAACACCTGTCCAGTGTGCCCAGACTGTCCTGGGTGAATGCTCCTGTGATTTGTTGGTGTCTTCTTCCTCTACTGTTCTCTGTAGTTGGCGGCAGCGAGCCTTTTCGTTCTTACTGGGAAATGTACCTGTCCAAGGGATTGTTGCTGATCTTTGTGGTGGATTCAGCAGATCACAATCGATTACCTGAAGCCAAAAAATTCCTTCACCAACTAACAGAAGCAAATCCAATCCTTCCTCTGGTTGTGTTTGCACACAAACAGGTAAAAATCTGTGCAAATATAAATCACACTCAATACTTTGCTTACTAATACAAGAAATTTCTATTTTTTTAATAGCTAGATACTCAATAATATGCTGCATATTCAATTTGACTTATTAGATTCCCTGGGTTATAAACTCCTTGAGCGTAATATGACTGCTATGAATTTTGGTGTCCTTTGAAGTTCCTAAGTAGACTGCTTTGTGCGTAGTAGGAATTCAGCAAAGGTCTGTTGAACTTATTTCAATAAACATATATTAATGGTTGAATCCAACAAAATATTTGAGAGGTTTCCATGTATAAAGAAATAGTTTTGTTTTAGACCAACTAGATTGACCTGAATTTATTTCATACACATGTTAAAAATATTAAACATCCATGGGGAAATTTGAACCCCTGTGCACTGTTGGAATGTAAAATTGTATACTTGCCATGGGAAATAATATTGTGGCTCCTCAAAAAATAAAAAAAAATAGGGTTCCCATATGATGCAGCAATTCCACTTCTGGGCATATATCTCCACCCCGCCCCACCCCCACACAAAAAAACCCTGAAAGCACTTCTCAAACAGGTATTTATATAGCACTATTTACAGTAGCCAAAAGGTGGAAGCAACCCAAGAGTCCATCCAATGATGAACAGATAAACAAAACATGGTACTTACATACAATGGAATATTACTTGGCCTTAAAAGGGAAGGAAATTCTGACATATACAACACAGATGAACCTTTAAGACATAATGTTACACGAAATAACCCAGCCAAGAAAGGACAAATATTGAAAAATTCTGCTTATTGAGGCTCCCAGAAAAGTCAAATCCACTAAGATACAAAGTAGAATGGTGATTGCCTGGAGGAATGGGGGAATTAATTGATAGGTACAGAGTTTCAGTTTAGCAAGATTAAGAGAGTTTGGGTGATAGTCGCACAACAATGTGAATGTATTTAATGGCACTGTACACTGAAAAATGGTTAAGATGGTAACTTTTGTTATGTGCACTTTTCACAATTAAAAAAAATTTAAAAATCAATTTCCAAGGGCTGGGGTTGTGGCTCATTGGTGGCACACGTGTGAGGCACAGGGTTCGATCTTCAGCACCACATAAAAAAATAAAGGTGTTGTGTTCATCACTAAAAATAATACAATGTTATGGAAATTCACTTTTTTTTTTTTTAGTATTAGTTTACTTCCACAAATATTCACTCATAGAAGTCATAAAAGAAAAAGTAGGAATTGAGCTGTTTTATAATCGGCAAACCTAGCCATTGAGAAAGGGGCTTAAGTAATACAATGTTATGGAAATTCACTTTTTTTTAGTATTACTTAAGTCCCTTTCTCAATGGCTAGGTTTGCCGATTATAAAACAGCTCAATTCCTACTTTTTATTTTATGACTTCTGTGAGTGAATATTTGTGGAAGTAAACTAACTAATCCCAAATGATGATCCAAAGTAGGAGCCTAGTTGAAGTCCCTTGTGGAAACTAGTTCAGCAGATTTTGACATTCGGTTAACATTTTGAAAGAAACACTCGTGCTATTTTGTTTTTATTTTTAAGAGGAGCATCTTAAATACCATAAACTACAAAGATTTGGGGATGGAGGTATAGCTCAATGGTAGAAGATGTGCTTAGCATGCATGAGGCCCTAGGTTCTATTGCCAGTTCCAACATCAATAAACAATAAATAAATAAATAATAGCAAAGATTTAAAAAGTCATGATAAATGTGAGCTGTACGCTATTCCATTGCACGAATGAATATACCACAGTCTTGCCATTTTCTTGTTGTGTATTTGAATTATTTTCAATTTTTCATTGTTATAAACAATGTTGCAAATGAGTCTTCAAATATATGTGTCTCCTTGGAGATCTCTGTGAACATTCCTGGTGCATATGCCTAAAAGAACAATTACTGGGTTTTTGTATTTATAAATGATAAATTGGACTAGATCTTATCAAGTTGCTTTCCAAAGATGTTATACCAGTTCATTCTCCCATTGGCAGAAGGTGATAGTTTTTGGAACTCTGTATCTTTGTCAGTACTTGGTATTTTTGCCAATACGATGGGGCAGAATTGTTTTTTATTATTCTAATTTATATTTCTCTAATTGCTAGTGAGCTTAAATATTTTCCAGGTGTTTATTGATCTCCATATTAGTGAATTTATTAGTATCTTTTTCCAAACTCTTACTAGAGTATTTATAGTGTGTGTGTGTGTGTTGCTGGGGGTAGAACCCAGTGTTTCACATATATTACGCATGTTTCCTACCACTCTGTTATACCTCTAGCCCCTCTATCTTTTCTTGTTTGAATTATAGGAATCTTTAAAAGCATTCTTTGTTAGTCACATGCTTTACTACTATCTTCTTCTTCAGCATTCTGGTGCCATGTCATTTTATTTTACTTATAGTTTACATTTTCATATTGAAGATTTCTATTTTTAATTTATCAATACTTTCTTTTGTGATTTGTCTCTTCATCAAATTAAATCAACAAGGCCATTCATTGTCAAATTTATAATATTATTGAGCCTTAAAGAGAAAAGATCTGTATATTCTAGTTTGTGTGAGTTAGCCTTTCATCACTGTGACCAAAACACCTGACAAGAACAATTAGAGGAGAAAAAGTTTATTTGGGGCTTTAAGTTTCAGAGGTTCAGTTCATGATCAATCTGACTCCATTGCTCTGGGCTGAAGAGGAGGTAAAATATCATGGTAGAAGGGTGTGGCAGAGGAAGCTGCTCAGTTCATGACAACCAAGAGCAAGAGAGCGCCAGGGACGACAAGATACACTCCAAGGCCACCCATCACCACCATGTGACTTATTTCCATAGCCACACACCATCAGCCTGCAGTTACCAGTCAGTATTCCATTTAAATTATTAATAAATCAAATGGATCGACCCATTAATGAGATTACAGCTCTCATAAGCTCATTATTTCATCTCTGAACATTCCTGCACTGCCTAATGAATGAGCTTTTTGAGGGACACTTCATATTCATACCATAACAAGAGCTCAATTTATCTTTGTTTATATTCTTTGGCCAAAATATTTAGTCTATTATTTTAGCTAAGTTCAAGGTTTTTTTAATATTTATTTTTTATTGTAGTTGGACACAATACCTCCATTTTATCTACCTATTTTCATGTGTGCTGAGGATCAAACCCAGGGCCTCCCATGTGCTAGGCGAGCGCTCTACCACTGAGCCACAATCCCAGCCCCAAGTTCAAGTTTTTATGTAAGGGTTTTCAAAGAAGTCATCTTTTTTATCTTTACTCTTTGCATTATTAACTCTATTAAGGCCCAATTATATAAGCATGGAATAAACCCTGTATTTATACCTTATGTGTTATATCATTAGAGGGAGCCCCTCTTCCCACCTACCACCCTTCTCTTCCTATTTTTTCTGCTCCAATTCAATCAGTGAACTTATTTAATATGGGACATTATCCATGTTACTGGATTTATTAATACCATTACACAAATTATTATAAGCTCTAAGACCAAGTAAATTATTCAGATTGAGAACAGTCAGTGAATGTATGTGACTACCAGTACTCAGAAAGGTAACCACCTCCCAGTTACTAATTACAGCACATCATGAAGCCTCCCCGTGGTGGAATTTGGTAGGTCTACATTAGTATAGGAAAAATATGACTCAGTATTGGATTATTTTTAGAACTTGAAAACTGTTCTGCTGGTCAGGTGCAGTGGCACCCCAGTTTGTCCCAGCTCCTCAGGAAGCTGAGGTAGGAGGATCACTTGAGCCCAGGAGTTTGAGGCCAGTTTGGGCAACATAGTGAGACCCCATCTCAATAAATAGATAGATGATAGATATATAGATAAAATGATACTCTAAAGCTTAGAGAAATGCTGCAAATTAATAAAAAGCCAATTATAAATGCAGTTTTAGATGTGAAAATGCCAACAAAGGACTCAAAAACAATAGGGATTTAATATTTTTAAAAGAAATATCAGAGGGGCTGGGGATGTGGCTCAAGCGGTAGCGCGCTTGCCTAGGATGCATTCGGCCCAGGTTCGATCCTCAGCACCGCATACAAACAAAGATGTTGTGTCTGCCGAAAAATAAAAAAATAAATATTAAAATTCTCTCTCTCTCTTTAAAAAAAATAAAATAAAGAAAGAAATATCAGAGACCTTTTGTCTAAATACTTCTGGATGCATGAGAGGCCGAGGAGTATATTTGGATCTTTCCATTTTGACCTCTAGGAGTCTGACTGTGGCATGCAGCATAAGCCCAGGCAGCTCTCTCTAGGAGATTCTGTCCCTGCTGCATCTCTTTGCCTTTCTCCTCCTCTTTGCCTCCCTCCCTACCATTTTTGTTCTCGATCTGCTCCCTCCCTGGTCTCTTGTCTGTCTCCCTCTACCTCCCAAAGTTTGATCCAAAGTTCTTGTTCAGTAGAAATAATGATCAGAAAAGAAAGCTCACAATGGCAAGTGCTAAAATTAGAAATATATGATATGAACCAAAAGTAACTAATGAATCAAATTCCTTTTGATAAATGTAAATTTGTATTAATTGATTCTGTTGAAAATAATCTTGAATTAAAAACAGTGATGACTCTGTTTAGAAAATTAAGGTATTAGATTGGCTTAGCTTCATTCCAGAAAACATTTGTTTGATAACACATAAATGCTGGCATTAGCTGGGTGCAATGGTGCACACCTGAAATCCCAGCAACTCAGGAGGCTGAGACAGGAGGATCTCAAGTTTGAGGGTAGCCTCAGCACCTTGGTGAGGCCATAAGCAACTGAATCAGATCCTGTCTCAAAAATAAAATAAAAAGAGCTGGGGATGTGACTCAGTGGTAAAGAGCCTCTGGGTTCAATCCCTAGTACCCACCCCCATACTGGCATAATTCTGGTGAAAATATTTATATTCAAACATCTACTGGTGTCATCACAATTGGGGTCACAACATCCTCTGTATTAAAATGGTGAAGTCATTAGAGCAATAAAGACAAATAGTAAGTCTGTATATCCCAAAGGAATGCAAAATAACCAACTTTTTCTTCTTATTTTTCCATTCTGGGTGAAGGATCTCAAGGCAGCCTATCACATTACAGATATCCACGAAGCATTAGCATTATCTGAGGTGGGAAATGACAGAAAATTGTTCTTGTTTGGAACTCAAGTGACCAAGAATGGCTCAGAGATACCTTCTACTATGCAAGATGCCAAAGACCTGATTGCACACCTGGCTGCAAATGTGCAGTAAGCAGGACGAGGCCCACTGTGTGACTCACCACCTACATGTCATTGGGGAATGCTGAGTGGCAGGCTTGAAACCAAAGGTTTCCACTTTCGATTAAAAAATAAGACATTTCCTATTTTCTCAATGCATGACATATACACAAAGATAATGTTAATTCATTATGAGTATCTACTTATTTAGATTTTGAACTTTAAACATATTTATAGCTGGGCATGGTGGTGCACGACTGTAATCTCACTGGGGGGACTGGGGAAGATGACTGGGGAGGATCTCAAGTTTGAGATCAGCTTGGGAAACCTAGAAAAAGCCTGTCTCAAAATAAAAAAAATAAAAAGGGCCAGAGATATAGCTCAGTGGTAAAATACTCCTGGATTGAATCTAATACTGCAAACAGCTAACCAAACAAAAACATTTCATTTTATTTTTTGGTACCAGGAATTGAACTCAGGGGTGCATAGCCCCTGAGACACAGCCCCAGTTCTTTTTGTTTCTTATTTTGAGACAGGATCTTATTAAGTTACTTAGGGCCTCACTAAGTTGCTGAGGCTGGCTTTGAACTTATGATCCTCCTGCTTTAGCCCCTCTAGCTGCTGGGATTCCAGGCATTCACCGCCACACCCAGTCAACATATTTTATTGATTTTTAAAAAAATAAATGACAGCAGAATGCATTACAATTCTTATTACACATATATAGCACAACTTTTCATATCTCTGGTTATACAATTAACATATTTTAAAAACAGCATATTTGGAGTGAATTAGGATTTTTTATTTTTCCAGTGCTGGGGTTTGAACACAGGGCCTTGCACATGCTAACCACATGCTTTTCCACTTAGCTCCATCTCCAGTCCTAGAATTAGGATGTTTAATCAACAAAAGTAAAGTGAACATTAGAATGTTTTCACCCCACTTGTGGTTTTTCAGTATTATTAAGTTTCTATTAAAACATTTTAACAAGCGTCTTCTTCTCAAGTAAAAATCCATATGTCTTTCTTTTAAGTGGATCCATTAACATTGTGGGATAGAATTACAGGATAGTAGAATGAGGAAAGTGAGCACCTTCAAACCCACAGAGAAACAGAATCAACCACTTTCAGAAAGAGTTAGGAAATACTTGTCTCTAGGAGCCTGTCATACTAGGTGAGGAATATTGAGGGGATTTGCTTTTAAAATTCTTGACATTTCACTTTTATATATAGATATGCTTTCTTCACTAGAGATGTTTTGTAAACCGATAATGATATTTACCTACAGACTTGATGTGAAATTCAACTTTCAACTATAGTGCTTTTCCTTGATTAAAAAAAATAATTATTTTTGAAAGTGGATTGTGGTATATATAAATTCTCCCTTTTACATTTTTGGAATCTGTGCCAAAAAACCAACTATGATGAAGATGATTAAGCCTCTCAATGTTAGCACAAAACCATCTCTATCAAGCTTTAGGTTACAATGGAATGTAACCTAACTTAGGCATTTGCGTACACAGGTTTGTGCAAAATAATTGCCTATGAGAGGCAAAACAGGGGAGTGAGGTCTCTTACCTTCTCCAGAGTCAGGGCTGCAGCATCCTGAGTTCAGTGAATGACTGTGCTGATCCCATTACAACTGCCACTCAGATGTCTAATGTCAAACCTTCTTTTGTTTGGTCTATGGAAATGGGACCACACATTGATTTAGGATTATCAGAAACCCTGAATTTTAGCTTCTTTCTCGAGGCTTTCTACGAATGGACTCCTGGACACATCCCTTAATCATCTTGGTCTTCTCTCTATAAATGGATCTAGCCCATTGTAGACTACTTCCAGCCCTGGGTTTGAATGCTATGCTCTCTCTTCCCTGTGAATTCTAATGGGGATCAGAGGCCTATATAGTTCCTTGATGCCTTTTTCATAGGTGATACCAAAAGCTTTCAGGATGAGGGATGATAGGTCTGTTCTTCCTTGTTTGGTCTTTTTTTTTTCTCACATTCTGATATTTTCTGCATTTTGGTAACAAATGCTGTTGCTAAAATAACTGGAGTTTTTCTTTCAGGGAACAGTTAAGTACCAATGTGATCATCATTGCATGATGCTGGGGAATGAGTAAAGCAGAGACCCTATACTTGAGATGCTCTCAGGCTAGCAATGCAGGTACATGTCACAGGGGTTTTCAATGGAAATGGTACTCATCCAGGACAGATTGGTGTGATGTCAGAGAGGCTGCTGGCTGGTAGTCTTCCCATCAGGCCTCAAAAGGAAACACTTAATACTTTGGAGGATTTAACACAATCTGGTGTTGCTGCCAGTCTTCTTGACTTAGAAACCATAGATTTTGTTACTGAATCAAATAAGTGATTTGGCCTTTTCATTTATTCAGAAGGTCAACATTTATTAAGCACCAACTAAGTGCCAAGAATCTTTCAGTTAAAAAGGATGGGAATTCAACTCAAATTTATGTGTGCCCAGGGGCTAGGGTTGTAGCTCAATGGTAGAGCACTTGCCTAATACATGCGAGGCACTGGGTTTGATCCTCAGCACCACATAAAAACAAATAAATAAAACAAAAGTATTAAAAAATAGATCCTAATTTATTTTAAAAAATTTGTTTGTGCCCCAAAGAAAGGGTGGTTTGGGGAAACTCATCATACTGAGAAACCTGAGCATGAGTAGACTCAGGGCTTCAGAGATAGTAAGACTGTCTTTCCATCTCTTGGTCCTGCTAACCTCTGCCTGGATTAATACTCAGACTCTTGTTACCCTCACCAAGGTAGTAAGATGATTGCTGTTGACATCAAGCCTACGCTATTCATATAGCCCATGATCTCAGGATATTATGAACCCTCTTTCAACAGCCAGACAGCAAATCTCATTGAGGGGCACTGATTGGCTCTGCTGAGGTCACATCTTTATACCTGAACAGATTATTGTGGCCAGATTGGCTGGATCCAGAGTAGGAAGGAGGATTAGCTCCCTCAAACCATATGAAATCCATGTTCTCATAGAAAGGAGGTGGTCTGCTTTCAAAAGAAGAGGGAAGGGAGTCTAGGCAGGAAAATATCAGTTGTTCCTAGTCATTCACTGTACTTGGTACTAGAATACTTTAAAATTAATATGGGCTGGACATGTTCTTGGATAAGCAGAATTAATATTGTCAAAATGGCCATACTACCAAAAGCAATATACAGGTTTAAGGCAATCCCCATCAAAATACCAAAGACATTTGCCACAGTCTGGCTGGGCACAAATGCCGCAGTCTGGCTGGGCACACAATCATGAGCCACCACACAGTTTGTAGATTCAAACAGCAACTCTTTATTCCCGAACTCACACCAGCTGTCTACAAACACGTTCTGGGGAAATCCACGTTCTCTGCCCAAATCCACCTCCACTGGGCTTCTGTCTCCCAAAAAATACTGTCTAAATCCCATGAGAACTCAAGGGGAACTCAGGCAGCAGGATACGCCCTATTCCCAGCAGGAATAATCTTAAACCTTAAACCTGGAACCTAAACCGGGAACGCCCTAAACCCGATTATCTTAAACCGGGAACACCCTAATCCGCCTTGGTCCTTGAGCAAGGTCACCTACATTCAATGTCACTGCAACATGGGGTACGCTGGCAAGGAAATTGTCATACCTACTTGGCTAATGGCTCCCAGCAGACATTCTTCACAGAAGTAGAAAAAAAAATCCTTAAATTTAATTGGAGGAATAAGAGACCCAGAATAGCCAAAGCAATACTAAGCAAGAAAAATGAAACAGGGGTTGGGGTTGTGGCTCAATGGTAGAGTGCTTATCTAGCCTGTGTGAGGCACTGGGTTTGATCCTTAGCACCACATTAAAAAATAAATAAACAAAATAAAGGTATTGTGTAAATATACAAATAAAAATATTTTTAAAAAGTGAAGCAGAAGGCATCAGAATATCTGATCTGAAATTATATACAGAGCTGTAGTAACAAAACCAGCATGGTACTGGCAACAAAATAGACATGAAGACCAATGGAATAGAAGACACAAATACAAACCCACCTACTTACAGCCATCTGATACTTGAAAGAGGTGCCAAAAATATGTTGGAGAAAAGACAGCCTTTTAAACAAAAGGTGCAGGACAATGGCATATCCATATGTAGAAAAACAAAATTAGACCCTATCTTTCACCCTGCACAAAAGTCAAAGTGGATCAAAAATTTAGGAATTAGACCAGAAATCTTGCAACTTTTAGAAGAAAACATAGGGTCAACATTCTATCATATAGGTGCAGGCATCAATTACCTCAACAAGACCACTAAAGCTCAAGAAATAAAAACTAAGACTCAATAGTGGGATGTCATCAAATTAAACAGAAAAGGAAACAATCCAGAGAGTAAAGAGAGAGTCTATGGAATGAGAAAAAATTTTTTGTCAGTTACTCCTCTGACCCTGGATTTTGATTAAGAACTCAAAAACTCAACCCCCCAGAAAAATAACAAAATCAATAAATGAGCAAAAGAACTAAATAAATTTCTCAAAAGAAGAAACACAAATGGTCAATAATTATATGAAAAAATATTCAACATCTCTGGCAATCAGGGAAATGCAAATCAAAACTACACTAAGATTTCATCTCACTCCAGTCAGAATGGCAGTTATCAAGAATACAAATAATAATAAATGCTGGCAAAGGTATGGAGGAAAAGGTACACTCATACACTGTTGGTGGAATTGCAAATTAGTACAACCTCTTTGGAAAGCAGTGTGAAGTTTCCTCAAAAAACCAGAAATGGAACCACCATATGACCCAGCTATCCTACTCCTCTGTATTTATCTGAAAAAACTAAAACTAAAATCAGCATACTATAGTAATAACAGCCACTACAATGTTTATAGTAGCACAGTTCACACAAAGCCAAATTATGGAATCAACCCAGATGCTTGTCAATAGATGAATGGTTCAAGAAAATTTGGCATATATACACAATGGAGTTTTACTCAACCATAAAGAACAACAAAATAATAGCATTTGCAGGTAAATGGATAGAAATGAAGAAAATCATGCTAAATGAAATAAATCAGACTCAGAAAATTAAGGGTGGAATGTTTTTCTTGTGTAGGCTAGAACAAAATAAGGGGAGAAAGGCAGTGGGGGGAGGGGATTGGATATCAAAGATAAAGGGAAAACCAGTGGAGGAGAAAGAGGAGAATGAGAGGGACAGAGGGAGGACAGAAACAAAGAAATATGGGATGAATTTATTTAATTTTATTAAATTATGCTATATACACATATAAATGTACCAGAGGGAATTCATCCTTATGTATAGAAAACCTCAATCAAAAATAAAGGAGTTGAGCTGGGGATGTGGCTCAAGCGGTAGCGCGCTCGCCTGGCATGCGTGCAGCCCAGGTTCAATCCTCAGCACCTCATACAAACAAAGATGTTGTGTCCACCGAAAACTAAAAAATAAATATTAAAAAAAATTCTCTCTCTCTTAAAAAAAATAAAAAAATAAATAAAAATAAAATTGTTAAAAAAAAAATAAAGGAGTTAGGGGCTGGAGTTGTGGTTCAGCGGTAGAGCGCTTGCCTACCATGTGCGAGGTACTGGGTTCCATCCTCAGCACCACATAAAAATAAATAAATAAAATAAAGGTCTTGTGTCCAACTGCAATTTAAAAAAATGAAATTGAAGATCAGTAGAGGAGGGAGAAAAGGGGGAGGAATGAGGGGAAAAGAAAGCGGAATGGGGATTGAAATAAAATTTCTGCTATGTATAATTTTGTCAGAGTGAACCCAAATACTACGTATAATTATAATACTCTAATAAAAATAATAATTAAATTTTACTCTTTAAAATCCTAGCAGCTGAATTCTGTGCTATTGAAAATATTTTATTATGTTCACTGATAAAATTGTACATATATACAAAAAATTAATAAGAGCTGGAAAGACTCTTTGAGTGGGTAGTATTGAACCTGAGAGTTACAGCATAGAAAACAGCCAGTATGGGAAGAGTGGTGAGAAGTGAACTCCAGACAGCAGAACAGGTGTAGGAAAAGGCTGAAATGGAAAAAAGTTTGACAAACTAGAGAAGAACAGGGAGACTAGAATGTACAGAGCAAGGGTGTAATGACCCGAAGAGTGGACTAGAGAGAAAAAGGACTAGATTGTGGGACCACTTATACTACAAGTGTGTCCTCTCTCTCTCTCTCTCTCTCTGAATGTTTGGAATGTTATGACTGGAGCTGGACAAAGGTAGAAATCAGAAGGCCTACTGGATGGGGTGGACTAGGTCAGTGACTGGACGTGGAGAGAAAGGGATGCGTTGAAGACATGTATTTTCAGAGTTAACTGGAGTTGCTTATGTATTGGATATGGGGAGAAGGTGATAGAAAAGGAGAATAAAGATTGATTCCTAAATTTTTCTCAGGAAAGACATTAGTCAGATTCATGTGGTTGGTGTATAAAACCAGAGCGTCAATATATAACTGTGAAGTGGACCAGATTTCTTTCTGTGTGATCATTACTAATCTCTCCCAGTAAACAGACTCCCTGGGAAGCTGGGAGCTGCCAGAAAGTTGTCTTGGGAGCATGGATCTTTTGAAGTATAGTGGTGCCAGATCATATATCCATATCAAGAGGACCTGAAAAACAGGATGTAACAGTTGCTTTCTGTTGGCTTAGGTCCTTTCCCCTCTGCATTTTTGCTGGGGAGGGAGTTGTTGGAAGAGGTGCTGGGGATCGAACCTAGGTCCTCCACATAAACAAGCCCTCTGCTACTAAGCTACACTCCAGGCCCCAACCTCTGCAGTTTTTGATAGGTGCAGTCTCTTTGACTCCCATACATCCATTTTTAGCTGAAACCCCTTTTTCAAAATATTTCTGATATGCTCTTTGGCTATTTAAAGACATTTCTTTTAGTGGTGGGCAGCTTTTTCTGATTTAGGGGCCATCCTGCTTTTTAAGGTGAGTTTATATAATTCTTTCCTGATTGTTTATGGGTTGAGTTATAAAACTCCCTGAAGATAGCTAGCTATTGAATCTCAGTACAATATTGCACTATATCAAAATGTGTCTGAAGGAGTAGATTTCCTGATTTACATATGCATATGCCAGACTAGAAAGAATCTCCTAGTTTCATTCTAGATAACATTCACAATCCAAAATGTGAATATAGATGTTTCACATCTATAAGACAAAGTATATCTAAGGATTATCTAGTAATATGCAAAAGGGGTCCTTAGTTTACTATATATTTTGACAGATGACTTGTTCCTTAACACCTCTAGTCCCCTCCTCTGAAAATAAACACATTATTGAAAGCCACCACTTCTTTCCCACACCATCATGGACTTAAAGGCTAAATGCAGTTCTCAAAGATTATGAAAAGCCCAGGCCACTTACATTTTTAAAATATATTGGCATATTCGTTTAAAAAAGAAGGGTGAGGGCAGTGCCAAAACTAAGATTACAAAAATTGTGGTATACTGGGTTTAAAAGACATCACACTTGCTGGGCATCGTGGCACACACCTGTAATCTCAGCAGCTTCAAAGGCTGAGACAGGAGGATAGCAAGTTCAAAGCCAGCCTCAGCAATTTAGTGAGGCCCTAAGCAACATATGGAGCCCCTCTCAAAGATTTTAAAAAAGGTTAGAGGTGTGGCTCAGTTGTTAAGTGCCCCTGGGTTCAATCCCTGGTGTGTGTGTGTGTGTGTGTGTATCACAACAAATTAATGTACACACAAAGGACACAATTGTGTTCTTCACAAGATAAAAGTAATGATTTGTAGCAAACTTCAATGGATCATATATCCTGAGATGGGACACAAGTTGTAGGATTTTAAAACCTATCAAGTGTTTCCTTGCGACGGCTTGTAGAAATTCAGGTGGAGATAAAATGGAAAAATCTTTCTGAAATGTTAAACAAACATCACACTGCTGCCGCCCTCTCCCCACAATCCTTATTCGGTTGATGTGCATTTACTAGAAACTGTCTTAGTGATTGAAGGTCTTAATTTTCTGCATCTGCTCCCAGCCTTTATATAGAGGAACCTCTGAAATCTAACCCATCTGCCTCTGCTGAGTTGTAAAGCAACTAGATGGGAAGCTGACAGGTTCTGCCCCAGGGCTGTGCAACCAAGAGTTTCAGTTCGGGGATCTTGCCTGGTCCCTGCAGACAATTGCTCTGGATGATCTGGCTGCCGGCTGCGCTGGGGTTAGGCCCAAGGTCCCCATGACAACCGGACAACGCGAGGGGCGGGGGGGGAGGGGCGGGGCCAAGTCGGCCTCGGGGCGGGGCGTGGGCTGCCCCCACCCAGTTCAGTCTCCTGAAGACCTTGAACTTGGCTTGGGCCACCCTCCGCGAGAGGGTTTCTGACACAATGGCGGGCCAAGGGTTTTCAGGTTCATCCGAGTTGTCTGAGGTGACGCAGACAGAAACGTCCTCTAACTCCGAAGCCTTCCAGAAACCCTTAGTGCTCAGGATTCTCGATTTGCAGGACGATCTGAAGGAGGAGGCTAAGCGGCGAGACCAGCAAGATGGGGATGAGGGGGACGACGAGGATGACGAGGACGACGAGGATGAGGATGAGGAGGATGAGGAGGTCGACAGGTATAAGGAATCCGAAGAAACCTCTGAGCCCATGGAATCCACCAAATCCTCTGAGTCCGGCCAAACTTCTGGACCCCACAAACTCTATAAGGAGCGCCCACCACCCAGGGCCCAGGTACACTACGCATCCTCTGAGACCCTTGAGTCAGGTGCACCTCACAAGCTCCTTAGGCCATGTGTTAGGCCATGTGAACAGCGCAAGCTCCGCAAGTCCCGTGAACCCTTCCATCCCTGTGAACCCCTCCACCCCCACGAGCGCAGCCAGCCCCGCAAGCCCCACGAGGCCAAGGAGTTAAGGCTGTTTCACAACCCTGCGGTGATGTTCTCCCCATCTCTGATCACCAGATGCCCGACACGGTATCGGGGGTCATCCCAGAATGGTAGGTGTTGCTCCCCACACCCCTGCGACCTTGCACATCTAGAACTGGAAGTCTAGGGTCAAGTTGTGCATGCAAGAATTTGCAGTGTTTTGTGTCATCTACCCACTGCTCTGCAGTCACTCTCTGCACTTCAAGGGACTCTGATGGGATATTGACACCTTGGCAATGACAAACTCTCTTCTTCCTCCACTATCACCTGATGACCCCTTAGCTCTCCTTGAAGACCTGCTATTACCTTATTGAAGCCCTTCTTAATTCTCCTCTGCAGCTAGTCACTGCATCCCTCTGGTTGGTCCTTCCATCATTCCCCTTTATTGCACTTAAGACTTAAGATTACATCATTTCTGTTACTGTCCAACTAATGGTAGGGACCTTGGAAGACAGGATATTTTTGTCAGTGTTTGGCACATGCTGCCAGTGAAGAGACATTCTTGGAGCAAATATTCCTCAGTGCACCTAAGTGCCCACTATCTTTCACTCTTCCCCAAGTTCAAATGGTATTGGGGCTGATGGGACTTGGGATAAACATCCTTGCTCAGGAGCTGGCTTTGGTTTTGCTTATAATCCCAGCATCTCAGAAGGCTGAGGCAGGATGATGGCAAATTGGAGGCCAGCCTCAGCAACAGTGAGATTCTGTTTAAAATAAAATAAAAAGGGCTGGGGATGTGATTCTATGATAGAGAGCCTCTGGGTTCAATCCCCAGTACTGACCCCCCCCCCCAATCCTTGCTCTGACTACATCAGTTCACTCATGACCTTTCACTAATGATCCAACCCCAAATAATTTTCTTATCCATATGGGACCTCCAATCCCTTGACTGACCATTTTTTGTTGTTGTTGTTGTTTGTTTGTTTGTTTGCTGGGGTTGGTCAGGGAGACACTGGGGATTTAACCAGGGACAATTTACCACTGAGCTATATCCCCAGCCCTTTTTTTTTTGCATGCAAGAGGTGCAAATAAATATTTTTAGACAGAGTTTCATGAAGTTGCTTAGAATCTTCCTAAATTGCTAAGGCTTCCTTGAACTTTTGATCCTTCTGGCTCAGCCTCTCAAGCCATTGGGATTGCAGGTGTGAACCCCCATGCCCAGCTGACTAACCAGTTTTTATCCCCTGTTCTCACTGATTCCTCCTTACCCAACCTCAATTCCATGGTCCATCATTGTGGTTGCTCTTACAACTTTTCTGCCACTCCTTTGGCTCTCCTGCTATCTGCCATTTCTCTGCCCAAAATCTCAACTCTGGTTAAACCCAGCCATCCATCTACTTTCTTCCTACACCTAGCAGTTACTCTTGCTATACAAATTGCACAATCAGGCTGATGGTTTTATTTCAGTTGCATTACCACAAATCACAACTGGTCATGTAGTACTTCCTAGCAAACTCAATTTGCCTAGTAGGTTAGTTTTCCCAGTCTCTGAGATGATGACTAAATACCTTCTTTATCTCCTCTGACCTTCACATCTTTGACCCTCATCCAGCTACAGACTTTGCCTCAAATTTTATCAAGAAAATAGAAGCAATCAATCATGAATTTATTTCCTTACCATTAATCTATTGCCTTACCCACTTCTGGTTCGTGGATTCTGCTTTTTCTTTTCTTTTTTCTTTTTTTTCTGGGAAGACGTGTACCTTTTGTTTGTTGTTTGTTTTGGTGCTAGGGATTGAACCCAGGTGTGCTTTACCACTGAGCAACATCTAGGTCCTTTTTCTTGTATTTATTTATTTATTTTGAGACAGTATCTCCCTAAATTGCTGAGGCTGACCTTAAACTAGTGATCCTCCTGTCTTGGCCTCCTGAGCTGCTGGGATTACAGGCATGTGCCACCACACCAGCTTTGTGCCTTGTTTTATGAAAAGCAAAATCCTTTATTTGTGCTTTAGATTCCACTATTGTCTCCTGAAGAACTTTGTTCCTACTGTTATCCCCTCTTCCTGCAGAACTACTTTGTCCCTTTCTAATGAATCTGTCCTATGAACATACACAAGTACTGTAGAATCTCTTATCTTGAAATAACTCTTGATCCCATGTCTTCCTCAGACCTTTTCTCCCCCACCGTCACCAACATTTTCTGTTCTTCACTGCAGAACTTGTCAAAAGAGTTGTCTGTGCTCAATGACTCCATTTCCTCACCTCTCATTCTCTCCTCAGCTGTCACCTGGTTGGGCCTCTTTCTCCTCTACTTCACTGAAACTACTCTGGTTTACTGCCACCCCTGCCATTGCATGTGGAGATTTCAGTAACCCCATGGATGATCCACTTGGCTCCTCCCAAAATCTCAACATCCCTTGACATCCTCACGTGGAATGATCTGGTTTCTCTCCCCATCTCAGACACCCCCCACTCTATCCCTTGTCAATTGCTGTTCCATTTCCCGAATCTCTGTCATGAGCACTTTGATCTCTAACCATGTCCTATCTTTCCTGCTCAATGGTTGGAGGTCTGACCCATTGATGGTCAGAGGTCTGATTCATTGATTCTACTAAACCTTTTTTTTTTTGTTACTGAGGATTGAATTCAGGGGCACTCGACCACTGAGGCATATACCCAGCCCTATTTTTTCTTTTATTTAGAGATGGCGCTTCACTGTGTTGCTTAGTGTCTTGCTGTTGCTGAGGCTGGCTTTGAACTTGCGATCCTCCTGCCTCAGCCTCCGGAGCCTCTGGGAATACAGGCATGTGCCACGGTGCCCAGCTGATTCTACTAATCTTTATTACTACCTTGCATTCTTCTGTCTCTCCTTACTCATCTTCCGTGGTTTGCCAGCTCAGTCACCCACTTGTAGGTGTCCTTAACTCCCTCATCTGTCTCTCATCTGTCATTTGTGCCTGGTTAAATTTAACTCTTGCCTATACTTATAAAACAGACCAATTCAAGAGAAAGGCAAACAGTATGTGGACTGATCTTTAAATTCATTACCTTGAACTTCAAATGGGCTTTCAGTTGTTGTTGTTGTTTTACCCATTGAGAATAGGAGAAATCACCATATCTTTTCACCTTGCAATCTACTAAACTACCAGCACCTATAAACATAATCTACCTTTTGTCCTGTTAATCATGGATGAATTTTCCTCTCATCTATTAAAGGCCATTCCCTCATTCCATATGTTGGATCTTGTCCCATTTAAGTTCTTTAAGTTCTTTGCTTCTAAAATTAGCCCCTCGGGGCTGGGGATGTGGCTCAAGCAGTAGCGCGCTCACCTGGCATGCGTGCGGCCCGGGTTCGATCCTCAGCACCACATACAAACAAAGATGTTGTGTCCGCCGAGAACTAAAATAAATAAATAAATAAATATTAAAAAAAAATAAATAAATAAAATTAGCCCCTTTCTCTGCTGCATCACTATATTCTCGTTTTTTCCATCAGCACGATAACTATTAAAAAAAGAAAGAAAGAAAAGAAACAGGAACTGGTGATATAGCTTAGTGGTTAAGCACTTGCCTAGCAGATACCTAGTGCTGGGTTTGATCCCCAACGTGGCAGAAAACCAAATAAAAGGTAAACACACACACACACATACACACACACACAAAGACACACACCCCTTCCATTAATTCCACGTAACTCCTCCAGGTACCACTCTATTTCTTTACAGGAAAAAAATTACTCGAAATAATTGCCTGTAGTTATTATCTCCACATCCTCTTTTTCCATTTCCTTGAGGGCCACTTTAATTAAGCTTTCTAAATTCTATTATTTTTCCCCAGTCCTGGGGGTTGAATTCAAGGGCACTTTACCAGTGATCTATATCCCTGCCCTTTTTATTTTTTCTTTTGAGGCAAGGTCTTCCTAAGTTGCTGAGGCTGGCTTTGAACCTGCCTTAGCCTCCCAAGTCAGTGGGACTACAGTTGTGTGCCTCTGTGCCCAGCTTAGATTAAGCTTTCATCCCCTCTGCTTACCTAAAGTTACTTTTAATGAGGTCACAATGACCCCTGCCTGGCCAGAGCCAAAGACTTATTCTTCATCCTCACCAGCCTCATTTGGCACCTGCCTTGCCTTAGAACTCTTCCTGATTCTCTCCTGGGATACTAGCACCACCATTCTCCTACCTCATGGATTGTTCCTGACTCAGTTTCTTTTACTGAATTCCCAGTCTTTGGGCTGATGACTGATGACTAACTCACTCAGATTCTTCTAGAACTTTCCTTATTCTCTGGGTGATGTCATTAGTTCCATAACCTTAATTATACTCTGGTAACTTCTCAGATTATTTCTAGCCTCAGTTTCTCCTCTGAAATCCAGAGTTTTCTAACCAATTATCTATTCAGCATTCCTGCTTTTAATATCTATTAGGCACACAAAACTTAATGTTTCTAAAACTTTGACCCATTTTTTTTTTCTTATACCTTGCCTCCAAACCGTTAGCAAATCCTAACTTTGAGTTATATTCTGATTCTATTTCTTTTTATTTTTTGTCCTGGGGATTGAACCCAGGGTGCTTAACCGTCAAGCCATGTCCATAGTCCTTTTTATTTTTATTTTTTTTATTTAGAGACAGGGTCTCTAGGTTGCTTAGGGCCTTGCCAAATTGCTGAGGCTGGCTTTGAACTTGTGATCCTCCTGCCTTAGCCTCCTGAGCCGCTGGGGCTCTGTTTCTTTTCTTTTCTTTTCTTTTTTTTTTTTTAAGAGAGAGAGAGAGAATTTTTTAATATTTATTTTTCAGTTCTCGGCAGACACAACATCTTTGTTTGTATGTGGCGCTGAGGATCGAACCTGGGCCGCACGCATGCCAGGTGAGCGCGCTACCGCTTGAGTCACATCCCCAGCCCTGGGGCTCTGTTTCTTAACATCCAAAATGTCATCATGGTTGCAGGTCATCATCGCTTGCCAAATCCACTACAGCTGGGCTCTTGCTTCCACTCCTGCTCACCCTCCAATTCACTGTACTTACACTGGTCTCAGGAGTCCCTTAGAAATGTGGATTCCATGCAGCTGTGTTGCTCTCAACTCTCCAGAGAGGGTTTCCATATCATGAAGTATGTAATCAGAAGTCCTTAG